GTCTCTTCTCTGGTCCCCTTCTCAATGAGTGGTAACATGGTGACAGTTACTCAACACACATTTTTTAATGAGTAAGTATTAATTTTTTCACTATGAAAATTACTGCTTTCCACTTCATGCAAACTTCCCACAGATAACCAGGAAAAATGAGGTTTATATGTTATAATGAAACGATTATCTGGTTTTCTTAAAAACTAAAATATCACTTTAAATTAATAAATGGAGATTCTGCAGCTGTGTTTGAGTGTCTGTAGTCTGAAGCGAGTTTTCTGAGGTGGTTAGGGCACGTTGCCAAGGGAGAGAGAGGGAAAAAACTATAGACTTGTTTCTTGCAAGAATATCTTTCGAGGCTGTTTGAGAAGACGGATAATTCAGAGGTGAGGCTGAAAGTATGAGTAGCTGAAGCCATATGATCTTAATGCCTATCAGACAAAAGGTGAAGAAATGGTCCCAAGAAAGGAAGAATATATATAGGATCACTTGTCTCTATGAGCCTATCTAAGTGAAAATGTGATCACTGTTTTTCATTTTACATTTTCAATTTGGCAGCCGTTGTTGAAATTTTCAGATTTGTTAATATCACTCCTTTAAAGGATAAAAATGTAAAATAAACCATGGAAATGAGAAGCTGAGTTTGTTAGAGAAAAATTGTTAAATAAGTATGTGTTATAGGCAAGATGTATAATCCAGATACTATAAGCCGTTCTTAGTTTATGCCTAGGAATTCACCAGAAGCTGTTTTTAACAGAGCTCAGATCTCTTCCTATGGTACATCTTTTTCTCAGTTCACCCTTCTCCTAATCATGCTCAGTGTACATAGATTTATATACTATACAATTATGGCATCTTCTTAGGCACACACACAATATAAAGTCACTTCAGCCATTTTGTTTTCTCATTGGAAACAAAGTATTTCCTGCATTATTAACATGATAGCTTTCATTAACATTCTACTTCTTTTATGAAAAATGTTATTAATTTCATAATTTCTTTTTGCTAAGCTGACAAGTCTACATCAGGATATTTCAGACATATGCACACTTTTTTCAGGGGAATAAGCTATGACACAAATTCGATTGTTATGATTGAGTTGTAATGGTTTCTGTGGAAAAATCCAAACTGGTTTTGGGGAAGCCCCTAAAAACTAGCATCCAAAAGTTTTCTTTTTTCATATTTTACTCCATATTGTCTCCAGAAACAGATGACATCTATTTGAGATAAAACTCCTGTTATAATTTGGATGAATTTTCATAATATACATTATACACATAACGTGCTATATTTAGTTTGCATGTAAATTTTATGTAAATAGGAATTTCACAGATGAATATTCTATTCATTTCATATCCCTAGCATTATATGTTAAAAATCAAGCCTTGAGTAAGTTAAGAGCCTCAGGTCCTGGCACAGCAGAACATAGAAGTGACCAGATCTCTAATATGACCCAGGCTCCTTTTAATCCATCAGTTTTTCCAATGACACTTTCTCCCTAGACACTTGAAAAGTATAGCTCTGTTATCAGGCCCATATGCATGCTTGATAGAACTATTGTTTTATTTTTTACTCTAGTTTCAATGGGTAATTTGATAGTCAGAGAAGTCTACTGGTATCTATCTGTCTAGAATCTACCTATCTATTGAGAGTGTTCTAACTGAATTATCTGTGATTAGTTATCTCTGTCGATTTGAACTATATCTCAAGATGACTAAAATCACGTTTGATCCTCGCAGGAGGTTTTTAGATTTCTTTGCTTATATGCTAAAGTTCATCCTGATAGGAAACTTCTGCCAGGAGATCTCTTAAGACTGTTTGATGGGAGAAAAGAAGGGTCGATAACCTTCAATACAAGAAAATCTGAAGGAAAAATAATTCAAAAAGCTTCGTGGGATGATGAGTTACATCTTATCAATGACACCACAGTGGAAGGAAATAAGAGCCATTGTAGATTGTTTTCTAAAGTTGTAAGCTCAACAGACATCCATTTAAATAGTTAACAAGATGTTGAATTTCAGCAGGAAAGATACTGCAAATAATATAGAAACATTATTCTGCCATTGTACTAAATCACAGGATATAAAGGGTCAGTAATGCCGAATAAGTTCTTATTGTTGAAACACAGCAAAATATACAAAATAACAGAAATTCCCAGGCAAAACTACACTTCTTGAGATAAAGGGATTGATTTGAGAGGACAGGCTTTAAAGTTAGAAAACTTTTCTACTCAGAAAAAGTGAAACTTTATGATATAAATATATAAAACAAATAAAGCAAAAGTCTTTTTGTCAGGATAAACAAAATGGGTGACATAAAAGTAATCATTTCTCATAAGTTATGGTATCACAGGTCTGGGAAACATCCCCTTAAACTGGAAGGAAAGTAAATTTATCACAAGTAAAAAAGTATTTCTTTATCCAGCAAGTAGCTCACAGAGGTGACGTGGGTTGAAAATCTAAATCAGTTCAAGAAGACTTGAGAAAAACCCATGCATAGAGCGTCAATATGTGATTGGGAAAACTAACATGATGAGAGACACATTTATAAGCCACACCTTTCTCCGTAAGTCATTCAGTCTTATTATAAATCTAGAACCTCATAATGGAGGGGCCATGAAATGTATGGCCATTTACTTTACCAGGCAGCAGGACTGAGTGAGACAATATAGAAGGCTCATTAATTTAACCATCAAATCGGACTATGCCTTTTTGTCAATAGCACACTTTTGGTAAAAGGTTAAAGCATTTCTAACCTGTTGGTTTTAGCCCTCTTCCACCACCCGTCGCTTCCCCTACCCAAAAAAAAGAGACCAATTTTCTCTACCCTAATAATGATAGCTCCCCAGCACAGGATAATAGGACTCAGTGGGACTTAAGAAGCCATTACTCTAAATCTTTCATTTTTTTGATGAAGACATTGAAAAAACTGAAAGGTTGTGACCACATGTAAGTTAATAGTCTCTTAGTGGTAGAACCTGGGCTTGTATTGAAATCAGTGCTTTTCCACAAGAGCCCAGCATCACAGAGAATATCTCTTATAATCACGGATCTAGCAAAGCACTTAGAACTGAGTCCTAGATATGAGGCACTCAGAATTCCGCAGGCTGGATGAACAATATAACTGTTTTGGCAGATCTATTTGATTTGAAACATTTGAAAATTCTTTTTCTCATGCCCTGTTATTTAAGCAAGATGATCATTCATATGTATTTTCTTTTGATTCCAGAAAATCTCTTTTCATCCTAAAAACTCCCAGATAAATGAACTCCCTGCAGTCAGAGTATCTTAAAAAAAATGTTGCCTTTAGCAAATATTTGTCTTGGCTGGAATTGTAATTTTCACAATTAAATTTATACCTTATTTAACCATTCAGCTGTGGTTTGGATATGGTTTTTTCTCGTCGACTTTCATGGAAAATTGTTACAAGTTTTGCATTTAGGAGGCAGCCAAAGACTGTTTTAATTGTACAAGTTATTCAAAGTTTGGAGCGTCTATATTTTAATATTATTTACCATTTTCTGAAATTATTTCACATATCTTATTATTATCTGTTTCTTCCAGTAAAATTTAAGCTTCATAGAGAGTACTCCACATATTTTCATTGATTGCATAAAGGAAAGACTAGAAATACTATATCTGCTTATGCTGCATTATATCTACACATTTTTCAAAAGGAAATATTCTATTTTCCATTTGGGACATCAGGAGTTTTAGGCATTCAATATAAGTTATCCACAATGGGAAATTTAAACTCCTAAATGCTTCTTTAAGAATTGTTCTCAAGAATTTTTGTGTGAAGAAAACTCCATAAAGAACATATGCTTAATGTGAGCTATTTAATTTAAATGGAGACAGGGAGGGTAATTTTATATTTAATATCAACTGCAATGTCATAATTATTTTATTCAAAGAGACACAGATTATCTAAACTTTCCTTCTAATTTAAGCAAGATCATATTTTATGCCCTTCAGGTAAATAAGAATGTACTCTTTTAAAGCTCACTTGAGAAAGTGTTTTTTTAGTAACATTCGAAAAACATATCAAATCCTGTTCCTGTGAACTTTTCTTATTGTCACTACTTAGAGTATTTATAATCCTTAAAATTGGAAAATGTATCTGTCTCAGATTCAGATATCATCCTTTTTTTCTTTCTGCCTTTTTCTCACTTTACAGTCTCTCCAGTAGTTTTGACAGTTAACCTAAACTGATCTTCTAAGATTGTGGATCATGAAACTTGTCACATGTTTTCTAATTAGTAAATCATGAGATGGTTGTGGTACCAGAGAGGTTTAAAATGATGAGCTAAGTTGAGAAAATGTGATTTCTCAGCAAACCACAGTAGGATAGAGGAAAGAATAATTAAAGTGTAAGTTTTAACTACGGTTAAAACAACAAGAGGAAAAGAAAAGATTTTTCCCAGCTGCTTTAAGGTTTTCTACTTTACTATGATTTTCTGCAGATTTAAACTTTCTTTTCTATGAAAAGAACAGAGATTGGAGAATGTCCTATTGTTTAATTTCCTATCATTTTGATTTAATATGTAATTTCACAGATAAACTTAAACGGATTGATTTAAAAAAATAGTTACAGTTACTTTATGTACAGAACCACTAATTCTGCAGGAGGATTTCTACTTGTCTTTTAGAAGGCATATCAATTAAGAAAACTAGAATGATTGCTTATATATGACCAATGAGACATATCGAAAGGCTTAAAAAGGCAAACATACAAATGAAAAACCCAGAAAATCATTCATGGGATATGAAGTCATTAAAATCTGGAATGCTAAAACTTAAGTTTACACTTCATAGGCTGCATTTGAGAGCAGGTCCACTACAGCTCGTAGCGATTTATTTAGCTTTAAGGATTAGGCCTTGGAGCTACAATGGTCAGCACCTGTTTTCAACATTCCTATGTCTCAAACTTTAATGAATATTCTTTCCTGAGCAACAAAATTCCATGGCAGTAACACGTTTTTATTATATTTTCTATAGTAACACATTTACCCAGGACCCACGGTAATATCATCCACTCGACGATGGTTGGTGGTGGACCTTGCCTGTTCAAGTCTGACCTGTCGATGTGCTGAGAGGCAAGCAGCAGCAGGAACAAAAAAGTCAAATAGGATGCTGTATGGCAGATGAACTTGATAAATGGCTTTCTGATGAACAGTCCAAGTGGGCTTTTAGGAGCTATAAGGTAGCACACAGAGAAGACAGGAAAAAGAAGTCCTATTATGAAACATGTCACCATCTTCACTGCCCAATGTCTTCTCCTCCAGCCTGGGAACTCATCGTACCACCGAGATGCAAGCAGCTGTTGGCAATTGGGCTGGGCAACAAACTGAATGGAAAGGAAAGGAAAAGGAAGAGTCAGTGTCACATGTAATGGTGTCAGTTCATCAAGAAAAACACACAGTTATCTTTAGAGTCAGTTCTGTTTTAAATAATTTTATATTTAGACAATCATAAAGCATTTTAATTCGTTCTGTGAACAAAGCCCATTTATTGGATATTTTATACCCAAGGCATAGTGCTTTGTGTTTAGCCAGACATGACAGAATTCAAAATACTATGGTTGAGCTAGAGGAAGCAAAAATAGAGCTGAGGAATAAGAATATTCATGGGAAATACTGATAAGTGAACAAAGCTGTGTACAAAGATAAATGCATATATGTACATATATAAGAATTGTGATATATGCATGGCATAAAATAAAAAATTTTAAATGGTTATTTCTTGGTTTAGTGGTTATTTTCTGGTTACGACATAATACTTGTTTTTCATTTATATCCTTGAGTATACTTTTAACATTTTCTATAATAAACACTAGTTTCATCATCAGAAAAAGTAAATATACTTTTAATTGGGTTGAGGCAATAAGAAAAACATACATGGAAACATATTAGGATTACCAAAATGTAAATAATCATAGCTAAATTTGGTGGAAATAATACAAATACCTTACCTAAGCATAATCAATTACCATATACAAAACTTTTCACAAACATGACATCATTTTATTCTGCTAACAAGTTTGAGATGTAGTGTAGACCTTACTCTATTTTAAGGATGAGGATAGAAGGAATTATAAGAAGTCAGTAAATTTATTCATTAGTAAATGATATAGTTTTGGACTAGTAAATGATAAAATTTTGGACTATCTGGTATGGTATCTTATTTTTCTTTTTCTGCACACTACCTTTCTCATTGGGACCGACAGCTAAGTGTTATATAAATTCAGAGGAAGTTTTCTCTTCCAGATGGAATGGTCCGAGAATGCTTCCCAGTGTGTCTGAGATATGAATAGGCAGATTTGTAAAAGCCGAGCGGAGAAGGGAAGGCAATTCATAACAAGGTATGGTGGGAGAGAGAGATCATACACTGATGAGAAAGTATATGGTGTGTTTATGGGATGCCCCATGAGCTGCTTTGACTGTAGTAGAAGATTTAGTCCCTTATAAGGGACTTGGGAAAGTTCTGTTGGCACCAAAAATAGGCCTACCCTGCAAGCAAACTGGATACTTGGCCCATTCATAGGACTCCCTCCTGCTCAGTATTTCCCATTTGCTTCTTCAGTCTTAGCCCGTATGGATCTCCTTTAGGCAAGACTTTGCCATTACTCTTTTTTGAGGGTAAGCAAGAAAACAATCTCTGGGTATACAGAAAGGGCCTCAATTATCACAAACCAAAAGCTGTTTGAGAGTTAAAGGAGCGACAGGTGATTTACTAGAAGAGCACTTCAGTAGTTGAGGTTAGTTGAGGTGTGCAACCACGTGGACTGGGCATAGAATGTTTTCTCATGCAGCTGTTTCTCTTCACCTTGTCTTGGATATCCCCCTCATCAAAGGACATAATGGGCAAAGAAATATGTAATAAATTAAGTTTACAATAATGGGTTAAGTAAAGGCATCTACAACAAAATAAAACTGCGTTTATCAAGACTGGGATGATGAGGCTCTCTTCATTACTTTATAAGTAATTTATTTAAGTAAGTTTCAAGCTCTGTAATTAGTAAAGCTAAATTTTATAATTCAAAGAATAGCCTTTCTTAACACAATCCTTGCCTATTATTCTGGTCAAAAGCAGGTATCTGAAAGTCAAAATAGAGTTCTTGCTGATACATCTGCAGAGTACTGTCAAGAGTGATACAGGTCATTAACAAGCCCTCTTCTCTTTAAGAGTTGGTCCCCCCTCCACACACACACAATCCTTCCCATCAGCATTTTATAAACAAAGCATAGGCTACCATCTTCTTTCTATTTTTCATACAAAATATTCTTCATAGGATTAGAATTTAGCACAATTGAACGGTCTTAATACAAGGGAGTTAAAGAAACCTACAAAAAATGCAAGATAAAACAAGCATTTGCTACAATTTCACTAATCCTCGCAAATTGAAGAAACACTAGAAGGGATGAAGTATGAATAACACAGTTTATACACGCAGAAAAGGTAAAAGAAAAGTATGTACTTTGTTCAACATGGTCTGGGTAAATTCTAGGACGAACAAACTCTGCCCTTCCTGGCCAAAATCTCATTCGGGCATGGGATACTCCAGAGCAAATAACTTTATTGGGAGCACTTTAGTTTGCCTAGATAAATATTCCTGTTGCCTAATACACACACATAGACTGTGTTAAATTACCTAGAAGAAGAAAATCATTTAATCCTTGCCATTGCCAAGCACTAGGTTAGCCTTAATTTTTACTAATGCTTTTCCTTAAAAGACTTTTTTCTTTAATTATTGGAAAGCATACATCTATGCTTAGTAAACCAACACTGTACACAATTTTTTATTAAACACAGACAGTGAGGTTTATGCAGAAACAAAGAATAGAGACAGGACTATATATGAAGAGCAAGAATGAGTGTGTGTATTTTCCAAAAATTTGGATAGTATTTGCCTACAAATTTATTCTAATCATAGGATTGAAATAGCCCAAAGACTATTCCTAAGAATCACTGCAAATATAACTATTCTCACAATGGTTTTATACCCTCTTTCTACTACACCTGTTGGCTACATGTCTGCAGCAGCTTTCCCCAGATTGTATCCCATTATCTCATAAATTAACAGATTTTCCATGAAAAATTGATTTTTTTGGTTAAATTAGTTACCAAATTAAGGAGTAAAAGAATTAAACTTTTATATTACAGGACTTTTCAGAGTCTTTAATTGCTAAAGTACATTAAAACATTTCAATGATCTCTGTGTCCCCTCCTTCCTTTAGTTGATTATTTTCCTACATGATTCCTTCTTTGTACTTTGTTCCCTCTTTGTTCCCTCCTTCCTGCCTTTCTTTCTCTCTTTTTCCCCTCCCCCTGCCTGCTCGACTCTCTGTCTCTTGGTTTACTCAGTTTATTTAGAGGAACACTCAGCTTAACTCAAACCCCCTCTGAAGGACACCCTCAGAGCGGGGCCAACCTGTCTTTCTGACGCCTGCCACTGGTCCATCCCAGCAAAGCCCTCTCCAGAAAGGCCATCACATTGCCTGCAGCATGTTGGGAGCACAGATCCTGCCTTCTCTGCTGCATTTTTCTACTGCACACTGAGTCACAGGAACTACCATCTTCCACACCATTCCAGCACTGGCGGAAGTGGGGTTTCTTTTCAGGCACACTGTATGACAGGCCCGTCTCATCCTACAGTCGTTGGCCAATTCCAGCACAACTCTTGCTGTCACATTAAAATTCACATTAAAACATTATAAACATTCAAATTCACATTTGTGCCATGCATTTATGAAAGATACTCTGTAAAAAAAGAAAAACTTCCTATCCCACTTTTCAATAACCTTTAAAAACATTTCAAAAGCCTGATCTCATGGTTATTTATAAAATCATTGAGTCATGAATTCCAAACACTGAAGAAACTGTGAAGATTGTTGAATCAAATCTCATTTTTACAAATAAAGTGAGATCCAGTATTAACCATTTAAAAATAATTACTCAAAATACTAAAACACTCAAAACCATTAAGGAAACCAAGAAAAAAATGTTGAGGAGAATGAGAATAAAGCTGAAAAGTAAAAGCAACAAACAAAACACCAAAAAAACCCAAAACCAAACAAGAAACCTCACTACTACGTAGGGAAGAATTAAAATATTAATTGGATATGGACAAAGTAAGGAGAAGAGGATTCAAAAATTAATGGAGCCCTAATAATTAAAATAACTATGGATCAGATTTATTTGGCATTTGTCCTTTCTTCACCTTTCAGTTTTCCAACATATTTTTCTAGTTTAAAAATGTGTATCTGAAGTTCAGACTGGAGCCTTATTCTCTATAAGAGCAAAATCTAGATTCTGGTAACAACCAACCTGGCTAGTTTATGCATCTTGACTAAGTCAGATAGTTACATGTGAGTCTCAATTGACTGCTGGATGCTTATAAAGAGTGTTGAAACTTTTGGATTGAATGTTTTATAGTGATTTACATAAGGGCAACCTGATTCTTTTGCTTAAAAAGGACCACAGATTCATATACATGTCAATTTCCTCTTGGTCTTACTATTTATTCTTTAGCAACTCAAAAATAATATATATCCTTTGGGGTTTTATTTCCTCTGCCCAGGTGTGTTTTTCAACAATTCATTTTGTAATGTTAATAGTGAGGTTTAAGGATTATTTTAGGCAGAAGGGCTTCAGGGAATTTTTTCGTCCATAGCTGAGAAAACCTTTCTTCTACTTCAGCCCTAACTTCCTTCATAGCTGCCAATGCCCTTTAATTGTCTGGGTCTCCTCTTATTTCCTAGAGATAGCTCTGCTTGTGTTCCTAAGTAAAACAATTCTTCTAGTCTCCCTGAGCACAGTTATACTACACAACTAACCAGACCCTCCTACTTCACTAATCAAAGCATCATTTTCACCAGGTCCTCCCTAATTTAATTAAGCCAATAGCATTCTGCATCATCCATGAATTAGGCATTGGCTAGATAAGTGGGGAGAGGACCAAGATCTGTAAGAATCAGATAAATCTGTCTTCTGGGAACTCAAAATATGTTGGGGACTGATCATATGACTGGGTAACTTAATACAGTGCATTAAGACTTGTTATAAAAGGGGTAAAGAGTATAGGAGAGATTATGCTCAATATGAAATAATCAGAGGAAATTGAAGAAAGGAAGCGGAATTTGTTAGTTAAGCCTGAAATAACAGGTACAACTTGATAGGTGAATGTGTTTTAATTTAGATTTATAGAATATCATGTTAAAAACTTGAGAATGGAGTTAAATAGGTTCAGATGAGCTACCCTTCGTGAAGGGTTACAATCAATGGTGTATACACTATAGATAGGGTGTAAAGAGCAATTGCAGCCATATTTTGGGATATAAATGAAAA